CACATGCCCCTGTGAGACTAATGGGACCTCCAAACTACCCCTTCAGTCCTGAACCCAAGCCACCAGTGAAACTTAAATTAGAATACTTCAGCCTTCTGTTAGGCACCCAAACCTTCATCAGGCTTAACGTAAAGCCCACTAGCCTGTATAATAAGTATCTCTCTCTCTCTCTGCCCTGGGCAGCTCTTTCTTATTCCCAGGCCTGTAGAGCTATTTTCTTCCAGCCCCACTGCAGATTTGGGGGGGTCCCACCATACTACTCTCAGGAGCTCTACACTGCACAAGTCTCAGGGCTGACTTCCTTGACTGGTCAATCCCAGGGCTTAGATAACTCTGGCCTGAGCCCTTTTCTGGTCATGTGATACCTCCAGTAGAGGTGTGCCAAGCGAGCCCTATTTGATTCGGATTTGGATTCAGCTTGAATCAGGGACAGTGATTTGATTTGTTGATTCAGATCACTGTCCCTGATTCATTTAGGCCAAATCTGAATCTGAAGATTCGATGATGATTCGGAGAATCATCCATTTGGCCATAGACACAGTTTTGTCTACATACCTTGATGTACCAAAATGGCTTGTGAATGCTGCGATGCTGGGGTGCATGGAGCGTCCCACAGGAGTGAGGGGGGAGCCCTCCATGTGCTCAACAGCAAACCCAGAAGTGGACCGGGAGTACTTCTTGTCCACTTCCAGGTCTGCCAGGAAGCACACTGGGGGGCCCCCTGTGCTCTCCCTGACTCTGCAGTCGGCCACAGGGGGACCCCAGGTGCCCCCCCCAGACCCAGGAGGCACCAGTCACTGAGCCGGGAGGGCGTTGTGGGGAGGGGTGGCCTGCATGCTCCCCAGCAGACCCAGAAGTGGACTGGAAGTGCTTCTGGTCCACTTCTGGGTCTGCTGCCAAGTGCACTGGGGACCCTCCCCTCCCCCCCCATGCTCCTGTGGGATGCTCCATGCACCCCAGCATTGCAGCATTCACGAGCTGCTTGCTTCCTAGAGTTATGTAGAAAAAACATTTGAAGCTGTGTCTATGTCCAAATCTTTCCTAATCTCTCTGAATCGATTCGGAGGGTTCCAATTCAATTCAGAGAGATTAAAGGGTCCTCTGATTTGATTCGGATTCAGAGATTTGGCCACTAAATAGGGCCGAATCTCTGCCGAATTGAATCAGGGACCAAAGCTTCGCGCAGCCCTAGCCCCAAATCAGCTGACCTGACTACAAGGTTATCCCTTAACCCTCGCTCTGCTGGCTGCCTGTGCTATAAAGACTCTACCCTTTAAGAGGCCACACTACTCTTCAGTAAGAGGGCCAGGGTTCGAAGGAAGGAAGGATTATTTGCATTCATGTTTCTGTTTCCATCCACTCTCTCTTTTTTTTTGGTATTATTATAGTGTCTACAAGATCCAAATGACATCACAGCTTCATTGTGAACATCTTTCTACAAACCCTGGGGAATAGATTTTTTCCTCCAATTCAGCATGTTATACATTCACATCCATTTTGTTAACCGGCTTATTGTGGCCATTAAAATACATTGCCTACATTCCTATTCAAAGGAAGCCAATGTGACTTTAAATGAACCCATCCCCTGAGTGTCAGCTTGGGTATCTTCCCTGACTGCTTGTGCCTCCTCTGAAAGCATCAGCTAGGTACAGACTATCATGTGACGAGTGTTTCTGTCTTTCCACTGAGCCTGGTGCAGAAGAAGCTTCACCCTCTGGGATTTTCCTTTGTTCCTAAGCATTTCTTTCACAATATTTTTAGTCTTGGTTACAGCCACTTATTCATTTTGCCACAAGCTATTATAACAATATACTACTTGGCTTCCTGCCTAAAAAGCTCTCTAATTGAAGCCAGGCGCTGGTCATTCACCCTGTTTTTCTTTTGTTTCCATAACATGCATGCAAAAACTGCTTATTAGTCGTTCAGCAGAGGGCAGAGTTAAGGGTATTCTGAATCCTTGTGAGGGTATAAACCTTGTGGGACCTTTAATAGAGGACTTAGTTGCTTTTTCTGCCATTTGCAAAGAGAATTCGTTCTCAGCCTTATCTTTGTGCAAACATATTTTGCTCTGGTAAATATTAACAAAGAAACCTTAGAGAGTACAATGTGCTAAGATGTTTTTTTCAGGTTCCAGAAGGAATTAATGGGGAATAGAGAAAGTGTTTATTTGCCCTGTCAGCTTGTTTGCTTTTTGTTTGAAACAATTCAGCTGTCTTCAAAGAGCCCCTTTTCATTCCATGACTGGCCTTTTCCACGTAAGATGGAAGCTGCTAAACCCATATGCAAGGCTTGCAGCTTATGTGGTCTGGTCAGTTTAGCATAGAAACAAGGCAGCAGGGGATAGCTGTTTAGCTATTCACAAGCAACAATAAAAGGTACCAGCAAGGTATATGGATTTTAGTCATCTGGTTGCATTGACTGAACAATGCCTTACACAGGTAGAACACTGGGACTGCAGCAGCTTTAGGAGACAAATCTCTGGAAAAGGTGTATACTAAGTGTATGTGGTTACCAGTCTTTTTCTTTTGAAGAAACATTGTTTAAAATACAAAAAAACCCCATAAGCCCTGAGCTATAAATGGGTGTTTGGGTTCCTTGCAACCAGAACAAATTCGGTAAAAGGCAAATTATTATCAGTGGAGGTTATTAGCTGCTGTTGGGTAAATCCCATGCAAGGTATTGTGAGGCTAAAGTATGATTATTTTACATACTCCTGAGGGTGCATGGGCAGGGATGGGTGGAGAAATGGGTAGGTTCTTGGCTCCACCTTCCCCCCCAGTGCACCAGGCAAAGTAGATGAGAAAGCTTCAGAGACGTAATGAGTTCATTCACCAGTTGAGGCAGGGTGGAGAGGAGCGGGGTATGCCAACCACTGCGTGAGGAGCAGAGTCAGGGGAAGGGAAGTCTTCCCTGCCTGGGCCCTCTGCATACCAAAGGCAGATGGTATTGCTTCCACCACTGATGAAGCTACTGTAACAGCACCCACTTGGACAGCAGCAGCCCTGTGGCATGGACTCCCTGGGAGTTGCGCCTGGTACCCTGTTTCCTCCTCACCAGCCCAGATGTGCTGTTGGACACATGGCTGTGCCTGTTGTGGCAAAGACTTGTGGAAGGAGGATTTTGGTGCCTTCTCATAGTCGGTGCCCAGGGCTGGTGCCCCGCTTGCCCCGTCTCTCCCACATTTATACTGTTGGTCAGTATGCATGCAGAGGGTCATAGATAGGGACCTAACAAAATCACAATTTCACAGATTTTGCAAAATCCAGCGTTGTCCATAGAATTGGGTGCTGTAAAGAAAATGCCAGCTTCTCAGAGGGAGCCAGGAGTCCTCAGAGTGCTGTGGCAGCCCACTAGGGGGAAGGGGAGGGGGTCTGCCCACTCAAAGGGCTGCGGGCACAATGGCCATTGCCCCACACCACTGATTGGCTGTGAGGGCTGTCTGTCATGTGGTCCCTCCCCTCTTCACCAATCAGCAGCAAGGGGCAGGGCTATGTGACAGGCAGCCCTTGCAGCCATTCAGTGATGAGGGACAGGGCCGCCAGGGTCCTTCAGCCAATCAAAGATGGTGGGGGGGCTGCAGTCTGTCCACTAAATGGCTGCTGGGCCCCACGTTCTGTCTATAAAATTGCGGGGGAGTGGGGGCAGCTGCCCCAAATTTGGTAGTTTGATAATCATAGATTACTACCCTGTGGACTGAGGAGGAAGCAGGAAAGGATCTGTGACTCACAGGGGTGTCCCAGCACCTGCTGGGTGCAAGAGCTAATATCCTTCCCCATACTCAGGAGTGAGCCAAAAGGTGCAATCTACCCTCTCGGAGCTGAGCTTGTGTCTTGCTTAATTAAGTCAAGAGTGCACTAACATTAACTGCTGTAACTGATGTTCCTCTGTCCTATTGTTTTTTCCATACTTTCTATTAAATGCATATTGGCAGTTTTGCATTTGAACCAACAACAACCTTATGTCCACTGAATTTCTCCTACTGTTCTAGTATCCTGACCATTGACTTTGCTCTGTTTCTCTGCAGCGCTTGCATCTCAGTGAAGATGTGGCTGGTGCAACTTTCATGGCCGCGGGAAGCTCTGCTCCAGAGCTGTTTACATCTGTCATAGGTAACTAATTGCCAGCTACCATTGTTCGGAATCAGGTTAAAGCAAGCGTGAAGTCCAGACTGAGTCACCAAGCGAGTAGGAGAGCTGTAATAAGGCCTCTTCTCTCACAGACTCCTGAAGGAGTAGTTGTGATGCATCTTCATGAAATCTGAGGAACTGTGCATGTGCATCATCACACACTGATGAAAGACCACACACCTGAATTTCTCTGTCTTTATGTAAAGTGCACACCATCAACCATAACTCAGGCCTTGTGCTGCACCCAGTAGTGCAAGCAGGGCATGAGCCCCAGGTACTGACTAGGGGATAGGAAACAAAATATGGAGCAGGGGCAACTCATGCTCCCATCTCCCATTCACTCCCACCTCCTCACCCCTACCCCCCCACAACAGTTTCTCCACAGTGGCCTGAGAGATTGCAGGTTGGGAAACTACTAGCGTGCGTGAGATTGCAGGTTGGGAAACTTCTTATGGAAAAATTAGTCAAAGGCTTTAAAAACGTTGGTGTTCCTCCCATGGGAATGATTATATTGAGAGAAGAGGATCTGAAGTAGGTTATTCAGGGAACTCTCAGAGAAGCACCCTGTCTTGGGAGGTGGGGATCAGGAACTAATTTATTTCTGCAGCAAGACTCAGGAGCAGAATGCTCTTTCCACAACATCCCAGATTTTTGGATTTGGGGAACAGCAAGTTCTTGTACAGATGGGGAGGAGGAAAAGTTTGGGCAACTCTTGGCTCTTCTCAAGTTAGGGACTTGATGAATATGCGCTGGACACTGGGGCTAGCACTAGGGTGGCCATTCGTTCGGTTTTATAAAAGACAGTCCAGTTTTCTGCTACTCTGTCCTCTATTGATATGAAACCGGATGCCTTCATGTCCTCTATTTTTCTCTTGAGACACCCAACCTTTCAACCCACAATTGAACTTTAGATTGTTTGTCTTCATTGGTTAATATGTTTGTCATTTAATTAATCCTGTGTTTGTATTGGTCCTGCAAATGCCAACAAAGATCCTATTTGTCATGCTTCCTAATGACATCCTTACATTACAGCTGTTGCTTGCCGCTGTTAAACATTTGTCTTCAAAATCAGTTTGACATCACCCTTAATTCAAAATGCTCAAGTGAAAGGCGTCCTTCAACTCAGAATGGTCGAAAGAATACTAATGCAATTATTCTGTATTCTGGAGGTACCTCGATGGCCACCCTAGCTAGCACAGAGCTCCCATGAAAAGAGCATTTGTGAAGCCTCTTTTTGGGTCTGCTCACATTGGGGTCAAAAGCAGCTAGTTTCAACCATGCATAAGCACTGTTGTTGCTATCACTATTCTGTTGCTGTTCCCTTGACCAAGTGAGAACAGCAGGTTTGATTGGAGAATTAAGTTATAAAACCACATGCTAAATTATCTGAGTTAAGGGTAATGTATTGTTCTATCTGTGCGTGTAGATAGATACAGAGCAGGAGGGTAATTAGCCATTAGAACAGCCAAGGGTTGCTGCACATTCTCCACCAATGGAAATATTTAAAACAAGTTAAGACAGACAAGGAGTATTGTGGGTGATATCTTTTATCATATCAACTGTGTAGTAGACAGGGATATAGACAAGCTTTCAGGAAACCCAAGGAAGGGTTCTTGCTACCCAAAAGCTTGTCTAAATCCCTGCAAAACAAGCAGTTGGTCCAATAAAAGATATCACGCACAGAATCCTTTCATCTCACATTTTTCCTGCACCATCACAACTACAACATCACCCCAACACTTCTAAATCAAGCTAGGATTTTTTTTCCTAAGTGCCAAGCTCTAGTTCAGCCATAGCTAGGGAACGCAAAGCAGGAATTAATTCAGGGAAATCACATGGCCTTTGTTATACAAGCAGCCAGACAAGATAATCACAGTTCCCCTTCTTAAACATTAGGAATTTAAAAGTGACTGAATTAAGGACCCTCTAATAGCAACTTGTCTGTAACTTGATGAATTTCTTCCTGCCCTACCAACATCTATTCTAACAGCCAGCTCCCACCTTATTACAGTACAGTCCACAGTCTGGTAACTATCACTCTGTGATTAAACACTTTGTGTAATGTGATTCTGAAGGGGAAAAGAGCATAGGCCACATTGGTCAAAGAAATTCTGCTACAACTTTGAGTCATAGCTAGCAGGTGATGGACATTGTGATTTTTCTAGCCTTTGTGGCATATGTTTCTGAGATGTCTATTACTATAATGTGGGGTTACCTAGAAATCTCTAATACATTTGCTTTTTATCACACACAGTCTCTCTAATTCTATCAAAGGGCCACCCATATTCTCCCTGTGCCTTTGCTTCTCACACTGTCCTATTAAATATGAGTAAAAATGGCAAAACCAAACACATGACTCACTGGTCTGCAGTTTGTTTTAGTAAAAACTCTTTTCTTTCCAACTTACTCACTTTGCCTTAAACTTGTTTTTCAGGTGTTTTTATCGCCAAAGGAGACGTAGGAGTCGGAACCATTGTTGGCTCTGCTGTATTCAACATCCTTTGTATTATTGGTGTGTGTGGGCTTTTTGCAGGACAGGTAAGAGCCCCTAATGAATTCTAAAAGGTCCCTGGTTCCCTCCGGTATTCATCAAAATAACTGCAAGTTGCCAGCTCATGCAGATCAAGACTGCAGTTCACAGAGAGATGAAGTATGCAAAATGAGAGGCTGTTTTATTGAGTTGAAGGGCTGAAGGCTGGTTTGAGTATGATGGCAGCACTGTGTCAGGAAGATGGCACTGCTCCCAAGGTCACTGATTCAGGAATTATTGGAGAAGAGAAAACGATAGCTAAATTTGAGGCAATTTAGGGTCCAGCATCTAGTGAAAGAAATAGCAGATGACCATTCCCCAACATTATTCAGAAAGGAAATATGGAGCAAACCTGATATGTGTAAGGCTTTAGACCACTGACCCACATGAGTCAGCTCCACTGATTTCATACCGGTAGAATCAGATACTTAGGCCCAAATCCACAAGGCTGTTTAGTTGCCATACTCTTGTATAGGCATCTCACTTCCACTGAATTCTGTATGAGTTAGACATATATATGCCTTTGTGAATCTAAGCATCGATGCTCAAAGAAACATATCTACTTCCATCCTTTGTTTTTCTGTTTTCACTTTCAGTGAAAACGCCCTCGCGTTTCATTCATTTGAAACAGGCCAGTTGAGGCTTCTCTATCACCAGCTGTGACATGACCAAATAAGTAACAAGTGATATCTTTGGCATTTGTGTTTTCCCCGCACTTCAAACACAGATGTTAATACCCATGTCCCAAGCATTAAAACCTAGTAGCTAAGAAAGAGTTGGACAATAGCAAAGGAATGCAGCTCATGAGATAAGATTATCTTATCAATGGCATCTTAATGACAGCTGCATTTCAGCTGTATTGATACCTTTAAAGGCAAAGTCTTAAAAGTTCAGCTGTGGTTGTAAAGGAGCGTTTATGACCAAGAGAATGCTAGCTTTTGTCAGTGGCCAGACCTCATCTGGGAAATACTATATGTGCCTTATCCTCCCCTCATTCAGATACTGCATTCAGATACGCAGCTTTTCCTAAAACAGTTAGATCACCAATATCCTGGCAGCATCTCACTCAAGTTGCTAAGTAAAAAAGTCTTCTTTTCTCTTACATCTGCCACTTACAGTTGAAGGGCAGAAATTAAAATGCATGAGGCCTCAGTTAGACTGAGTCAACAGAGCTCTGTGAAAGTCCATGGATTGACATGGATTTATGCCCACATTGTTCTGTTTTAGCCCAGGTAATGCCATGAGGGATGCTCCATAAAATTCCTAGATAGAATAGGGTTGACCCAAGCCTGAGGGAATAGATTTCAGAACAGTAAAGGATCTAGAAATATTCCATGCTGGGCACCCCGGGGGTTCCATTTTTTAAATGTTTCTTAAATCTGATTTCCTTCTGAGTTCAAGACATGGATTGCTTCTGACCTCCTCTGTGAGTCTAGAGGATACAAACAGTGATGCGGCTAGTTCAGGCTGCTTAGTTTCATAGTTTCTAGGGTCGGAAGGGACCTGAGTAGATCATCTAGTCCGACCTCCTGCCATGGCAGGAAAGAGTACTGGGGTCAAACGACCCCAGCAAGGTGTTCATCCAGCCTCCTCTTAAAGACCCCCAGGGTAGGAGCCAGCACCACTTCTCTTGGAAGTTGGTTCCAGATCCTAGCCGCCCTGACAGTGAAGTAGCGCCTCCTGAAATCTAGCCTAAATCTACCCTCTGCCAGCTTGTGACCGTTATTCCT